GCGCTGCTTCTTCATCATCATCATCATCATCACCATCATCAGCACCACCACCACCACCACCACCACCACCACCATCATCATCATCACCTCGAACACCAGCACCACCAGCAGCAGCAGCAGCAACATTAACATCAGCCTCGTCATCATCATCATCATCGTCATCATCATCATGACTCGACCATGATCACCATCATGATCCATCATGGTCATCATGGGCATCATCATCATCACCATCATCATCGCCATCATCGCTGGCATCAGCATCAGCATCAGCGTCAGCGTCGGCGTCAGCAGCATCATGCTCATCCTCATCTTTATCCTCACCATCCTCATCAGCATCGTCATCATCATTTCCATCTGCATCTGTCCTTCTCCCAAGCGATCCAGTGTGCTGTATGGTCCGAAAACTTCGTGCGGCATTTGCCTCAGGCTCCGGAATGGAGTCGGAGTTCCGGCTGCCGGCTCGACATCAACGAAATTATGAGCGAGAAACGATTCAGGCAATTCAGGAATCAGGAGGGTGAGGATCAAGGCTTATAAGCTCTGTGTTTTGAGCGAGGTGAAGCCTCAAGGTACTTGATGCGGACACATCTTTCTTAGAACGAAATGCAAGCATTTAAATACACCGCCCACAAACACGAACATTGGTAAATGCTCCCCGGACACAGAATCTGGTGTCTTTGAAAAAGGTAAATCCCTAGATGGGGTGAGGGCAATGGGCGTTCAAAGTAGTCGAGAGCAATGACGAATGAAAAAAAGTCTGATGTGCTGCATACTCCCAGGTAATTCCCATACTGAACCACGGACGACGGTCTGCATGCTGTGAGGCGTTGATGTCCAGCGCATGAACGTCCACAATACATTTCAAGAAGGCATCAAACCTAACTTTAAACAGTTGCCTGACGTCTTCTAAGTTCACGATGCCTGTAGGCAGTGGCAGAACTGCAGACCAGTTGCAGAGCCCATTGCGCATTAGCTAACACGGCGCAGGCATTGGCTGCGGGTCGCGCGGTTCAGGGTTTGGGGCAAAGCAGAGGCGGAAAGTCGCTGGGGCCGCTATAGGGCTTACAAGGGGGTTGGCATACTGCAGCTACGAACATCACATGGACTCACACTCATCTATAAGCGAAAGCTGCGGGAAGAGTTCAATGCACGCCACCATGCTTAACACCGATTGTGAGAGCATGGCTGTAGGAACGGATTTGGGGCCATAGCACAGTGGACGGGGGGCATGCATCAAGCAAACAAGCTATCGTAATTTATAATGCAGAGAAAGTATTACAAGCAATGATTCGGATTTTGCTGTGCAGCCTTACATATCTACTAGAGTGCCTGAGCAATGAGACTTGGAACTGGCTCAGTTCCAGCAATATCACTACCCATTCAAGATCCACGCGTAGGTGGGCTAAGGCTCAGTAGATTCAGCAACATTTGGAGGACCACTTCTATCGATTTGCTTTGGTTTGCATGTGTTGCTCACAGGGCTGGGGAGCCTTGACACGTAATTGCTGTGGCTCATTCCTGAAGGTCATGGCGTCATCATAAGAGTGTTGGCTAGGCTCACGAGAACTGATCTCCACGGTATTCTTCTTATGGCTTCGGCTTGCTCAGAGAGAGGAGCCAGAACATTGACAGAAAGGGCGACGGACGGCGGGTCTAGAGTTCAAACCCTCTGCGCTGTGTGAAGGAAAGTAACCATAAAGCCCCAGACAACATTCATCTTCCTGAAAGGAGAGAACTATGTTTACACACATGGGTCACGCCTTGCAGCGGAGCCGAGATGTTGAATGACGCCGCGTTGCATGCTGCGGCAAGCATCACCCGTAACCCTCCCTCCCGCTCTCCCCCTTGAAATGACCCCTAGACCATCCTAAACTCAGGTTTTTCCCCAGCATGCCCTGCTCGGTACTGTAAGCACCAACTGCTGGAGAGCTTGAAAACGTCAAGCCTAGTGGATGCTCCTTCGGCCAGTATTGCTCTAATTACTCTTGCTTCCTCAGCTAATCCGATATGACTCTCATAATGTAACGATTAGGCCTGGTCTATTGTGGTCTTTCCTCCTAACACAAACGCTCCGAAGTCAGGCTACCCGACTGAGCAGGTGGGAACCCTAGACCTAGCTACGAATGCACGTCACAAAGTTGATGGATCCAGGCTGCTACTTGCCCCTCATCTAAGGTCCAAGTCTAGCATCGGACTGCGTAAGCACACGTTCAACTTGCGGGTTATACCTGAATGCAACAGGATTCGCTGCCTGGCCCCGCATCATCGCCGTGTAGGTACTCCATGTTTCCCTCACTCATGCCCCCTCCCTTAGATGCCAGCCCATGCTTGAGTGAAAGGTAAATCTCCACAAGAACTTTTGCCTAAACAGTCAAAACTGAACCCGGGACGCGCAACCCTAAACCAAGACCCATAAGCACTGTACCCTGAACCCCTAGACCCTTTCCGTAGGCCTCCTTGGCAGGGCGCTTGATTGGCCTGATGCTGCCGTGGCCTGCTGCACAGCTTACGTTACGACGGAAGTACGTCTAGAGGTCTTAAGGCATATCATCGAGCCTCTGTAGAAGGAGTGCGCCAGGCATACGTGTTGGATAGCCCCGCCTACCACAATGAGGACCTAGACCACAGGCCTTATGACCTCATGAGATTGGGGGAGACCTTTAGGGGCCAGAACGGCCAAACCCCTGTTCATATTATGGTTATTACTGCAAGTATTATTAGTATTTTATTTGTTTAGCATCATCATCATCATCATCATTTTTATCATCATCACTATTCTCATCATTAATATCATCATCATGCATCGATAGTGTCATCATCATTATTATCATAATTATGACAAGTGTCATCGTTATGTTTGTTTTCGTCAGTATCATTACCAATGTTATTGCTAGTATCAGCATTATGCTTATACCCATCGCTATTATTGTCATCATTGCTATTTTTTATCATGATTGTTATTATCGCCTTTTTCCGAATCATCATTATCATCACTATGGTTATCAGTCAGTAGTATCATCATGAACATCATCACTGTCATTATTCTTGTCATTGCTAATATTACCGCTCTCATTCGTGCTATCACTCCTGTCATCATCCTTCATAACAGTGGTATCATCTTTGTTGTTATCATCATTAGTTTCATTGTTCTGATCACCGCCATTATGATCATCATTAGTGTTGATATCATCATCACCATCATCATAAATGTTATCACCGTTGTTACTATCAGAATCCTTATTGTTAACATTATTACCACTATCATGGAAATTACAATCATTTTCATCCTCAACATTGTTCTCAGCATTCTGGGAGTTGTCGTCTTTCACTCTTGCTCTTGAACCTTCGTATCTACTGCAGGCCGGTCAGGAACCTGTAAGCCGCCAACCACAACTTTGCCTTTGCTGGATTTCCGTCAAGGAACCTAACTTAAGTGACTATAGGGTATATAGGACACATGTAGGGTTTATACTATATGCCCATTTTCATGGGGAAGCTTCAAGTTCATTAACATCAACCCAGTTTGTCTTGGAGGGCCTGTGGGGTGCCTGTCCTTTCATTTGTCTTTGTTGGATGTTGTCCCGTTTTCCTACCCAAAGGCGTTGCGGATGGCCCATGGAGAGTTAAGTGCCAGGTGCTTGCAATAACTACTGTTGTTACTAATTACTCTGCAGTTGGAAACTGCAGAGATACTTTGCCATTGAGCACTGCAGTCAAGATCCGTGCGGAGAGCAACATCCAGTCTTAAAATCAAACAACCCCACTGTCAGGGTGGGGAGATAAAGCAGCAATGACTGATGCCTCCTCTGTGTTTTTGTGCAAACATTTGGAAGCATGACTCTGAAGACCGAACAGCCCGAGGTCACGCTTAGGACTTAGGATATCGAAAACCTCTTCCCGAGAACTTTCTGACAAGGATGCTGCAACGGGGTCCCCTCACATCCTTTTAGATATAGCAATCTAAATCATGAGGGAGATGCGGCCACCCTGCGTGGCACTTACAGTTTCTATAGTTGCTATACTCGGCTTGAATTTAATCATGCCACCCAAAAAAGTTTATGTAGCATTCTTTGCCTCCCTCGCGCTTCCTTGCTCCCAACCGTGCCTTGATCACATAGGCATCATCCCAAGCTCTCACACGTTGCAGAAGCGCCTCTGGCTCCATTGTCGCACGCCACTGGCGCAACTCCTCATAATCTCTGCTGGCAGCATGCGAGGAGGTTCTGTTCGGGCCCATGCATGTTGCGTCGACAACACCACACTGCATTTGTGCCCGGAATCCCTTCTTATCACGCCGGACGCCGCGTGGACAAGCTGCGGCAGCAGGCCGAAACACATCCTCTCCTGCTTGATTCTTGCCGCAGAGTTCACAGTACTTACTCAAGCGTATGTTCTCAATGCTGTGCCCAAGCATTGAAGGATCGGCTCCGCCAAACGCACTTGGATTGCTGCTCAGGTAAGCCCGGACCTGCTTGTTGGTAGCATTCCCGCCCAGTGCAGTGACCGCACACAGCACTGCCTGCTGCGTGCTCCTGGGCGGAAGAAGCCGTTTTTTCTGATGGGTCCTCCTCTCTTTTGCTCTGCCTTTCCCTTCGAATCTTGAAGACGGCCGCAGCAACCCCTTGACTGCATCTCGGATAGCAAGCCACTCGGAAGCCCCCGCTGCCAACCCAATGTCGCCTGCCCTTCCTTCAAAGGCGGCCAGCAGCCGCTGTATGTGTTCCAGGGCGATGCGAATCGAGCAGCAGCTGAACCCCTTGATCGTCCAGTCTCTCAACAGCTTTAGCCTTGCAATCGTGTAGTAAGTGGTGTGAACATGGGCCCTAGACACTGGATTCTACAGAACATTGGCTCGTGATCAAGGTCCAGGTTGAATCATTCAGGCAGCTACCCTACATTGCACATCTTGTTCAGCCGAACGCGTTCTCTATTCCAAGGCTGTCTGTCAGCCTCTGACAAACTACCTAAACGGGACATCCAATCGAGCGCCAAGAAACAGCAAGAATCTGATGCGGCCCTGCAGCTTCAGTGCCACTGCAACATTTGCTTCCTGATCTCGTCCTGCACCATGTGCCATGATCCCAATAAGCTCTTTGCATTCCGAGGATGCTCCTGGGTTGCTCTTTTGAATCGCGTTGTATCCAAGTGGCTTTGGATGTAGTCACGGACTGGTCTCCCCAAATACATTCCCCCCCCACTGCACACGTCCATACAAAGTTCTTCATCAAAGGGCACCCTAACTTTCAATTTCAAAAACTTCCAAACGGAGCAAAGCTCGAGGAGGAGACAGGGCCGCGGCAACAGCGCAAAGAACTTGTGCAAGTGTCTTCTCACTCCTCTCAACCTTCTGGGCCGGCGGTATAGGCGTTTGTTACTGACATGCCTGTTGGATACATGTGTAATGTAGTGCTTACATATGCATCTGTTCACACATGGAACACAAAGATGTATCTACACCTGCCAATGATCCACATGCATAGGTACAACATGAACTTAGCATAGCACATTATCATTGCTATTATTTTAAATAGTATTTCCATTAGCTGCCAAGTATCTGTTTCAGATCTACTTCACGTTGAGATGTGGACAACAAACGACCAAGAGATACTCTCGGTGCAGGACGCAGAGTCTTCAGAAGAATTTCACACACCAAAAAAAACATCCAGGGCACACACCTGATGATTGCACTAAGAACTTACAAGGTCTATAAGCAATGCAAAGGGCTTGAAGATGTGCATTGCGTACATTTGATGCTCCGGCCTTGCTTGCGTCGCGGAGCTGCTTGAGCAAGGACAGCTTCTCGCCATCCTCCATGGAGTATCGAAATAACTCCTATACGATTTACTAAGCACCCCACACCACCCCTGAATGATCCCAGTCATCACTCTTCTCTCAAGACCCCTTTTTTGAGAAACCTCCATGTTGGTCCACTCGTTCATCTTCCTGAAGAAATGCTCCGGTGACGATTTGCAGTCCTGTTCCGCTTCCATGGGGTTCTCAAGGAGTACCCAGGGGCGTATTGGATTGAGCGAAAAAACGCAGGCCAACAAAAACATGGTATGTTTCGTTTAGAAACTACCTCCTCTTCCCCTGCAGCGTGCCCATCCACATGGGCCCGGGCTTGTTCAGCTTCTTCATCGAAAGGCTCGTCGTGACAGACTTCATTGCAAACCTGCCGGCCTCCTTCCCTTTCTTTGAAGGAGTTTGTCTGAACGACATCCAAGGACTCATGGGCAATGTTAACATGCTGCCCTTCATCGCTTTCCTCGTCGCCCTCCTCCTCCTCCTCCTCCTCCTCCCCCTTCGCGTCCGCCTGCGCTTGCTTCTGGTCCTCCGGAGCTTCGGCACTAACAATCGCTAAGTCTTGACGACCTTTGCAGCATGGAAAGCGATGAAGGCTCTTTATCAACCTCTCCCGTGCTTCCTCAAAGGTCGTGGCAGGAAGGTTTGCCAGTTCAAGCGCAGCCAGTGCTCGAGGCAGAACGGTTTGAAGCCGACCGTCCAGCCTCCCGTCATCCAACTTTAGCAGAAAGGTCTCAAGCAGGTTCATCTCCACAATTCCAGCGATGTAACTGGATGGGGCACACGCCAGCCATGCAGCCACGTGGAATGCGTACCTCTGCGCCTGCTGCTTGGTGCAGCCATGCGCCTTCTCCTCAAACTTGCGAAATATTTCAGTCTTATCGGCCCTGCCATGGAACCGCTCCGCTGCCTCTTCGGGGGTCTCAAAGCTACGGGTCCATGCGCGCTTCATGGCCAGGATGAATGTGATTGCACATCGTTGATGTCAAAGCAAGCGCCTAGCAGTGGCTCTTTGCCCACAACAAACTTCCTCGAACCCTGCTTCACGCAGCGTAAGAGATCTTTTGGCGTGCACTTGCGTGCACTTTTAGATGCGCGAAATGACAGGAACTGCCTGAGGATAATCTAGCGAGGGCTGCCCAAATCGTCTGGCTGGCGGTCACTGAAGTCAAGGACGCAGTTGACATGAGCATGAGTCTGTGGTCAACAGCGATCCTTGTAAAGTATAAGGCTAAAGTCATTACACAGCATGAAGCCACTCAGGGTGCTAAACCATGTGGCTCCTGAACATCCTCAAGTCGACAGAAACAGTGGCCCAAATCTCAGAAGCATCTTGCATAAAGGCTGTCTACTGAAAATGTAGACCCATGATTAAGAAACCCCCCTTCTATTCATGGCCTTAATATCAGGATCCCTATTATAATCCCTACCCTAAACTCTAAACCTGAATCCCTGATTACTATAAATGTTGAGATCAGTATTATTAGTTGTATTGCTAGTACTATTGCTATTACTATTAATACGACTATAGTCTTACTATAATAGGATTTGGGCACGGGCGTCCCCTCCCCTGTTTCCATTGCATTTTCCATCAGCTTTCCACGGGGCAGCATACCGGTCACTAAACCCTAAACCCTAATCCCTAAAATCCTAAACCCAAAAATCTCAAACACTGGGAGCTAGGGCCGCTCCAAACTCTCCACAGCTTACAACGTGTGTGAACTAGAGTCTAGACTCCTTAAAGGGATTATATGGTTTCGGGTCAATATTAAGGGGGATACTAGGAGTCTAGACTATAGCTCATATGGAGCTTCCCAAAATTAGGGGTACCTTTACAGGGAATGTAGGGCTTATAAAGGGTCAAGGGTTTAGGGTTTAGGGTTCGCCAAAATTGCGGGTACTCTTTGGGAATCCTTTTAACAAGGATTGTAGCATTTTGGGGAGTATATTGGGCTCCCTATATAGGGAAACTACCAAATAGCAACACATGCTGCCCTGTGCAGACAGGGGAGTCTAGAAACCACATCAGATCTGCCTGAGATCCCTTAAGGCCCCTTGGAATTTAGCGTTTCGTCAGAAAAACCTGTTTCAAATCTTTCTCCTGGAGATGCCACTTTTTCCAGTGCCTGTATGCTCATCAACAAGCAACTGCAACCTGGAAGGCCTTTGAGGAAGATGATGTTCCGGTGGCGACGTCAGCTAAGGCGCCTCCCGTGATCTTAAGGCTTAAGGGCCCTGTGAATGTCGAATGGTTTGCCCTTTGACGGAATAGCATAAATGCGCATCTAGTTCTGGCATCGAATCGGTCAAGACGTCTGTGTGCAATGATGCTTGCAAGTTCTTGCTCAGGGCTGCCTGCAAGCAGTTGACGTGCACGTTGCATGGAACCACGAAGGACACTTGCGCTTATTCTCAAATGCAAGCCATGGACCTTATGTGTCGCATTGGTTTGGATTCGAGTCAAGCCAGCATGTAACGTCAGGGTACTTGTTGCAGTTTGGGCGCCGTAAACCCACCATTACTACTAGCCTGAGCCTGGTTTTGGATTCCGGGGCAAGCTGTCAAAAAGAGGCTCTTGATCTCTTGCTTTTTGGGATCCTCTCAGATGATGGGCCTCTCAAATCCCTCAGAAAACGGCTGCCATTTAAAGCTGTGTGTCGTTGCAAGTTGTGGCAAATTGGCCAGAACACAAAGAGATGCTGTAAACGAAGAATGTCCTGAAGCCATAGGAAAATGTTGTTGACATTGAAAACCGTGCACGACCCTAGTAAATATGCACATGTATATATATATATATATACAGCACCCATATTCCCAGAATTGGGTTTGGGGTACATAGGGTGATGCAGGATTTTGGTCTCAGCGGTAGGTTCCCAAGCAGTGGAGGCTTCTACAACTGGAGCTTGAATACTAACCCCTCAACCACTCTAATCATAACTACCTGGACCCCAGAGGCAAGTAAAATAACAGCCCAAAACACCTAAAAAAGGCCCAACCGGCCTTGTCATTCTACATACTTTTGGGGTTCATGTATTCCCTCTAATTAATGGTGATGTATTGGGGTACTTGTGTCAGGCCGGGGTAATTATTAAGGGAGGGGAGGAGATTACCAGGTGGCTACCAAAGGATCCCACTCCGCATTGATAGGGGCAGTAATTAGAGTAGCGAAGCTGTCTGGGGTTTGAAGGTTCAGACTTTAGGGCACGTTTTTGACGCGTGGATGCACAGGTTTCATTAGAGGTCCGGATTTTGTTGGCAGGCCTGTAGAACCATAAGACCCTGCACGGAGAGTGGGCGCTTAATTTCCCATGAATCATTTCTAGCCCTTAACCCTAAACCCTGAACCCTAAACCCTATAAGTCATGCAAACTAGACCCTAAACCGACCCTAAACCCTCAAATCCCTACCGCTCTGAACTCTCTGAGAAGCCCGATTCTACAATCCCTGTTATCCCTTACCTATAATTCCAACATATCCGCTTATCATCGCAAATATCTCCTCATCATCCCTAAATTCTTATGACCCCTTTAGAACCCCCTGAACCCTAAAACCTAATCCGTGAATCTCTTCCTGCCCCGCAGCCTGGCAGGAGAGCCGCCGCAAGCATTAGGCGGCCCATCCTCCATAAAGAACAAGAGCTTTTGGGACCCATTCAAAGGGTCACATGACACAGAGTGGTTGTGTAAGGATATGTAAATAGTCAAATAAATCTGTAGGATTTGGGTAGTCAAGGCCCATAGGGATCTGGGCCGAGGGTTTGGAGGTTAAGGGCTCAGTTTTTTTTTTTTTGTGTGTGCGTTATGTTCTTGTTGGTGCTCTTCTGTTCCGTCTCTACCTGCCTCGGCCGAGCATTCGGCTGTTAGCAAGGCAGAGGCAGGCGTTGCGTGCTGCCACGTGAATTCTCAGTGAGCCCTTCAGTCGCTCAGGTCTTTGGTGCGGGCTTTTCAGAAACAGGGTTCGCCGTCAACCCGGATGGAACCGAGCGACCTTTGGAGGCCTACCAAGGTGTTGGCAAGTACATGGGGCTACGTGGGATGGAGCTTTTGAAAGGAAGCTTATGGCTTACAGTAGTTTGGAGGAAGTTCGAAACAGAGGGTACAGTAGACCCTCTGGCAGGAAACTCGCTTCAGCACCGTCCGTTCAAACGAAGCAGTCTCTTCCGCTCATAACTATGTTCTGGCAAGCTCACTGTTTGTCTAGACTGGGGCTCCTTCCAGGGCACTGAGTTTAGGAGGTGGTGATTTTCGAGCTCAGGAATGGGGGATCGTTACACACAGACGGGTGGGAACTTATGTCCAACATGAGGTTCATAAAACGGTGAGGACACAACAGGTCAAAACACATGTTTGATAGTCACATGCTCAGACCGGGGTGCCACACAAGTAGATGCGTATAGTTGCGTGTTGATGTGCTGACTGTCCGGCTTAGTGTAGTAAGGTTCCGGCAGAGAAGGCGGAGCGCAGGCAACAAATCGGCTTGAAGCCTGAAGCCCTGTTTATTCGCCGATGCTGAGAATCAGAAAATCAGATGTGCAGTTTTCCTTCCCAAGTACGGAAGCCTCATACGGTGTCCAACCCGCTCTGAACCCCTACAAGGACTCCAAACTCCTTCACTAAACTATATTGTGCACTCTGTATCTTACAACACCTTGCCCGCGTCCTTACTTTGCTGGCGCATTTAGATCATGATTATCTCGCAGAGAAAAGGCTTCTATGCGACTTAGACTAACGGATTCTAGCCTGGAGGCGCTTCCCCACGTCACGCACACATGTGCATGTATGCCCGGGCTTCTACTCTTTCTATGAAACCCATGAGATCCCCATGCCTTTGCGTGACTGGCGGCTTTCCTGTGATCCCTCAAGGTCTCCCGGCTAACTTCCTAGGGTTTAGGGTTTAGGGTTTAGGGTTCCCTCCAGAACCAAAAGAAAGCAAAGCCCGAACAAATGGCTGCCAAAAGCCGGAATAAAACATATGCCCCCGGGCGCTAGTCTATCATGATAATACTATCTGAGGAATATGTACTATCACAAGGTTGAAGGATGCCAGGTTATCAACATGACCCCAAATCATTCCTTGACAACCCCCCTTCGAACCAAAAAGCATAACTTGCTGAACCCAAAACCCCTTGTGCAGATTGGGGAACACCATCCATAAAAAAGAGGTACACCCTCCC